TAAATAAGAAATCAAATAAGCATTTGAAAGAATTTCTGGTTCCTTCTTTGAAGTGAATGTAAAGCAATACCGGCCATTAAATTTGCTACTTGCCTGATTCACCGCTTTGATTTCGCGCAAGCTCTGTTGTTCTAGTGCAGCTTGTAGGAGACGTGTCAGAAACTCACCGCTCAGGAAGTTCGTCTCGATGTTCAGCGATTCGAGAGTTCGATTTCGTTTCACAGCTTCCACTAACGGCTATAAACATAACGCATCGTTTCATACGCTTGAGGGTAAGTAACAGGGAGGAGCAAAGGACTGGCAACAGTCGCCCTTGGCTACATTCGTCTATAGAAGATCGATCTGCTTATACTTAGGAGACTGTCGCTCAGCTTGGCTGCGTAGATGAGCGATTGTTCACCTCTAGCGCATGATCAGAGAGACCCATGTTGGCTAAACTGAGTTTTTTCAGGTGGTGGTTGTTCTCCAAGCATGACAGCAGCTTCTGCAAGCGAGGAATAGCGATTCGCTGAAAATCGAACATTTAGTTCGATGACTATCATACAACAGTGCACACTTAAACGTACTTTCATGTTGTTCAAATTAACGTCAGTCAAAGTATCGTCGTCGTTTGCGAGGCGGTAAATACAATCGTCCACGTCCACTGAATTCTCTGGCTCTGATGGCCGTTTCTGATCTGGGAGGCCGCATTTTATTACCTCCGGTTCTGAAGATGAAATGATTTTAAGATCTCCTCGTTGAGACGAGCATACATCACAGATCTTAAGCAGTTACAGATGATGAGGAATGACACACCAGTGATGATTAAGCTATTTTAGCATAAGCCGCACCTTTCATCGTAAAAAACACTTAAGCGAGAAAAATGTTTCGCTCAAGCAAAGACAGTTCAATTAGGTATCTTCTTCTAAATACCTTCCATGCATTTTCATGAACTCTGTAGAAATGCAAATGCTCAGATGGATGTGTTGTGTCAGAAGAAAAGACCTCATCCAAAACAGCTCCATGAGAGGTAACCTATGGGTACGCCACTTTCAGAGAAGCTTATCGAAGACAGGCTCCGTTGGTTCGATCATGTGAAAAATAAGACCCTTCGAGTACATTGGTAATGTAGCACCAACACTGATAATGCCAGAAAATAAAGAAGGCCAAAGAAAAGGTGGCGCGATGCCGTCTAGAATGAGATGAAACTGTGAGGAGTCTCTGAAGATCTAACCGGCGAGAGAAAGCGTGGAGGTGGTTGACTTAATTAGCGGACCCTTGTTAAAGGGAGCATGCCACGGCAAAGAAGAAGAAGAATGCTTTCCATACATTCAACGATGAATATTATTTATCAGAACAATGCTTACCATAATCAATGTCCGCATCTGCCCACACTGATTCGTACTGGTCTAAGAGATTCTCTAAATCATACATGTACAACTGCTTGCGGTCTTTGGTTCGACTGTTTTACCTTTCGTGATGCATTTAGCCGTTTCTGCTGTTTCTCCACCATGGGACGCCGATGTAATTGTGAGGTCATGTGACTCGTTGCAAGTCAAAATTGGCATTGAACTGACCAATGGCGATCGGTTTGCCGTGTGTGCACTACCTGCGGGTTTGAAGACAGCCTGACGATCTTTGAGGCTTTTTCCCTCCGCTGGCTCCTTTTCGTTGCGGTTCATCCTTTGTTCTTCTTCAACGCGATCCGCAGAGGCGCGCAGCCAACGCAGATTCTTTAACAGCTGCATACTAGTCGATGCGGTGCTCACGCGATCCTCTAAGAAGCTGCCAACTGCCATCGCTTGACGAATGCTCCACGAATTACAGCTATCTGATGTTTTGCTGCATCCACGTTGCCTTGCTTGCATTCCACCAAACGATGCTCTTGGCAGCATTTCCTTCGAAAACACGCTTGACCCGGATGGGCATTGGCACGTC